CTGTCTTTCTTTCCATTCTTTCTTTTGGCATATTTAATATTTGTCTGTGGCCTTCCCATTCTCTTTTCTTTACACTTTGCATTTTCATTCTATCACTTTTGTAGAGTTATTCTGTTATTTTTCAGCATTACTATGAAAACTGAGCATGTATGCATGTGTGTTTGTATTCCCAGTTGACTTAAGTTTTTGATTCTTTCTCTCAGGTACTATGGATCCCAAAGATTTCTTAGCAGAGGCTCAGATTATGAAGAAGTTGCGTCATCCCAAACTCATTCAGCTGTATGCTGTCTGCACGCAAGATGAACCCATTTACATCATCACAGAACTCATGAAGAATGGCAGCTTGCTGGAGTTTTTGCAAGGTATCGATAAACTGTCCCCACCTTTTAGTCAATGCTGTAGTGAAAAGGTCATGTCAAAATATGAGAGAGACAGCAGTGGTTCATGTAAGACTCACTTGGTCAGACCTTGGAGTTTTTAATACTTTGACCGATTTCTCTTCTACTGTCTTCTACTATGTAGGGGGCCCTCTTTTGGTACAAAACCTAAAAGTGACCAAATGAACCTATTTTTAGTACTTCTTCATCTTATGAAATAACTCATAATGAAAGAGACCTGTTTGTGTAAACGAATGTGTCCAAGCCGCTGCCAGTGGCTCACCAGCACAGCAGTTCTGATACCAGCTTGCTGGAGAAAAGAAATTAAACTTTAAAAAGAATGTTCTGCGTTTCGCCCTGTGAAAAGAGTATAGTCCAACATAATTTTGAATAGAAGGTATTGTCTTTTATATGCTGGGTATGGAGGTTTTGCTCAGAGAATGCAGCCCTGATCTGATATTTTTCATACTTTCAGTACAAGTAAAGTTGAAGGGAACCGTTGATATTCATACAACTCTTACTGTTGATAAAATTGCCTTTACCCACTGTTACTCACTAAGGATTTCTAAGTCGGATGAAAAGACTCGTGCTCAAGCCCACTAAAAGATGAACCAAGGAGAAAAAGGTACCAAGAGTGTTTCCACATGTAAAGTTCATATTTTGAAAAGGCAGGTATTGTGTTGTTCTCACACGTGTTCTGTGTGCTGAGGACTTCATACAATCTGTCTTTCCCATCTTACTTTTAATATCAGGCTAGAGGAATGCACAATCGACTAATTGTAGAACATGTCTCCTTTTTTCCAGGAAAAGGTCGTGTATTGAAGTTGCCTCAATTGATAGATGTAGGAGCCAATATAGCCTGCGGCATGGCCTACTTGGAGTCGCAGAACTACATCCACAGAGATTTGGCTGCCCGCAATATCTTGGTTGGGGACAACAACAATGTGAAGATTGCAGACTTTGGTCTTGCCAGAGTGATTAAGGTAAACTTTTTCTGCTGCTATATTTATTAATAATTACTGTGTGAGAGTAAGATATGGGGAAATATATTCCGAACAGCCTTCTGGCTCTGAGCCAGGGTGTAAAAACAAAAGGGTGGGATATAAAGGATTGACAAATGACGTGCTTTTTGATCACTCAACACTAGTATTCTGTCACTGTATGTGGCACTAGTGCAGGTTTTTTTGGTATTGACAGTAATAAACAAGAGAAAAAAAAGAATTTAGTCTTTTTTAACTTTCAAAATCCTCTTCATGTCGCTCATATGACCTTATGCAGTTGCAAGCGATGTAAAGCCCTCTACTGTAAAAAATAATACTATAATCCTCTTCATCAATGACATAATTCAAGAACTGCCCAAAGGAATGCATGCCGCATTGTATGCAGACAACCTGGTTCTTTGGTGCTCTGAGGAATTCGGCACTACAGCCACATATCGCATGCAACTAGCACTGGACAAACTCACTACATGGACAAAAACCTGGTGTGTAACCGTAAACAAAGAAAAGTCTTCTGCTACACTCTTCACTCTCAGCCAGGCTGAGCCGAAAAACCTCACATTGGACAAACCCCCCCCTAAAGTTTGAGAATCAACAGAAGTATCTTGGAATAATCTTTGACAAGCGTCTCACATGGAAACAACACATTCAAAATGCAGAAACTAAAGCCAGGAAGAAGCTTAACATCATGAGAAAACTTGCAGGGACTCTGTGGGGAGCAAATGAGAAAACACTCAGACAGGTCTATCTGGGCGCAATCATACCCCATCTCGATTACGGATCCAGTGCATGGATGACTACCGCACAGACTCACAGATACACTCATGAAAAAGTACAAAAACAAGCTCTCAGAATAATCACTTGAGCAATGAGGTCAACGGCTATAGAAAAAATGGAACTCGCGACATCTATTGTGGCCCTGCAGAGGAGATGGGGCCTCTTACAGTACACCAAGGCCACAGCTATGGAGGACCATATAATGCACTCAAGAACAGTCAGATCAAACACCACAAGACTTAAAAGATCCAACTTCTTCAAAGAAAGCAGAAAAATCCAAAGATCCCTACAGGACCATCTACCAGCCACAGTGAACAAGCTGAACCACACCCCAGAGGCACCATCATGGGAAAAGAAAAACACAAACATAATTATGCACACATCCATTCCTATTTTCACCACAAAAGATGACCACAGCGACCTGAGCAAGAAATCCCTGTCCCTGTCCGTTCTTGAAGAAAGATACCCCCCCGAGAAGCATGGATAAGGATCTATACAGAGGGATCTGCCACTGATGCTGTGAAAAGAGGAGGAGCCGGAGTGTACGTACAGTTCCCAAATGGACGACGACAAGCAGAGGCAGTCCCAACAGGGCGACATTGTACAAACAACAGGGCAGAGAAGGAGGCTCTAATACATGCAGCAAACATCAAGAATGTGCTAGAACCCCAAAGCCAAGTAGTCTTCCTAACTGACGCCATGTCAGTACTGCAAGCAATCACTGCCGGCAAACTACCAAGGCTACGAAAAGTAATTGAGGACATCACATGTCTGAGGATCACACTGCAGTGGATTCCTTCACACTGTGGTGTCTTAGGAAATGAGCAGGCAGACAGGATGGCCAAACTAGGAGCATAGAAAGAGCAACCAGACAACAGCGTTAACTACACAGAAATAAAAACTATCATATATACCCTATTTAAAGCACCACAGACACAAGATAGCTACTATGGGCTGCCTCGCCAAGAACAGGTGATTATCTTCCGACTAAGAACTCAAGACTGAGACAACATATGTACAGATGTTTTAAACTAGTATAATCACCAAAATGCCAGTGTGGAGAGGCGGACCAGACAGTTGGACACATCCTTTTGCACTGCAAGACACACAGGGCCCTGAGACAGGAAACGTGGCCAACCCCACTGACACTACAAGAGAAGCTATACGGGCCGACAGGTGAAGTGAGCAGGACGGCCAATTTATGACAGATACCAGACTTCAAGTGTGATGCGATCGAGAAGAAGAAGAAAGAAGTAACTTTCATGTTTTAAAAAGGGCGCATATTTTCAGCGACAAGGGTTCGCTTATCAGACAGTACTTCCAGTCTTCCGCAATTTTGCGGATTTCCGCAAATTAGCAGAATTCCACAAATGGAAAAATTTCCGTGAAAATTTGTGCCCCAAATTTTTTTTTCATCATTTTAAAAAATGCGAAATTAAAAATTTCCGTAATTACCAATAGTGAACAATAGCCTACCCATACCGGAAGTGCTCTTTTATTTGAACTTTCACTTTCTAAAGCACAAGAAGCAAAGCACCAGCTCTGAAAACAAGAGGAAGAAATGACGATTATAGTTCAATAGATCTTGGGCCTGCCAAGAAAAGGAAACTCTGAAGAGAGCTTGATTTTTTTTATCACACTTGTTTATTTGTAAATATTGTTGTGGGTTTAAGTTGAATAGAAGCTGTCGAGTTATTTAGATCTAGTTCTAGCTGTTATACTATTATAAGGATTCTACACTTTATCATTATGGTGCAAACCAAGACAAGCAGAAAAAAAGTTGAACATTGATTGTCAAGTTTTATAGACCTAGCTGTTATACTACTGTTGTGGATGTACAGTATCGGTACAAGGGAGAAAGCATGGCTTTGGATTTATACGGATTAACACTAGCAGAAAATTATGTATGCAAGGTATGTTTTTTTCTCACTTATTTTCTTGTTAAATTTAGGCTTGAATAGCCAGAAATGGCATACTTAGGATGCCCTGAAACCAAAAATTTTCAAACATAAGGGGGAGCGCCTCCCTTCAACCCCCTATCAGGGCCTGCCCTGGACCCTAAAATCTTCGAAAAATGACATCAACTGCTGGAAGCTCTGATCAGAGCAGCATACCTCGCCCATGCTTTGGGTGCGGTCTATGATATAGTTTAATAGACACACCGAATTTTTTGAAGTGGGGAGGAAATGTTTAGAGCGAATAAAGGAAATCCAGTTAGAGAAGGCTTTGAAACCATGTCCTTCCCCCCCCAAATTTTTTTTTTCAAATTACTTGGCAGTCTTGCTGAAAGAGGACTGATTGTTTTGTGGCTTTGAGTAAGTAATCACAAGGACAGATATGGAATGATACAAGTGGGAGGCAACTTCAGCAAAGTCTTTTTTTTCTCCCCTTCACATGGTCCTTTGGTGCATGTTGCAGGAGGACGAGTATGAGGCTCGGGTTGGTGCACGATTCCCCATCAAGTGGACAGCCCCAGAGGCTGCCAACTTCAACAGATTCACAATCAAGTCGGACGTCTGGTCCTTTGGAATTTTACTCACTGAGATTGTAACATATGGCAGAGTACCTTATCCAGGTGAAGTGTTGATTTTTTTTTTTCTTTTTAAAAAAATGTGTTATTAGTCTTCATTAATTCTTTCTTTTGCTTTTAACGGATTTGTATAAAAGGTTGATTTTTATGCAGTCCAGATGTTGAGTATGCAAGAGCTTCTGTTGATGGCTGTTGCATAATTATTATCTGGAACATTACTTTTACACTCATTTCCATTTAGTTCTTTTCATTCTTTCCTAAGGAGTGAAAAGCGTGTCAAGGTGCCACATTGATTATATTGGTTTAGACAGATCTGTTACATAATGTGGATGGAATTTGCCATCTTTGGTATTTCTTTCAAGCTTTTGATTTGTCCTGCAATAAAAGCAAAATTTTACTTTTTTTTGGAAAAGTGCAGCTAAGGTTTTCTTCATTTTAAGGACTATCTTCTAATTTTTAAAAAGAATATGTGGATAAGCTCTGAAACTGTTACTTTCACCAGTTTTAATATCTTATAGATAACAGGGAACAGTTTTATTGAATGTAGATGTCTGATTCTGACAAATGGACTTTTTTTTCCCTCTGCCTGCTGGGGTGTTAGATAGAAGGAGAGAAGTTGCATGGGATGTGAGAGTAGCTTGATGCCTGACTAATGTGCATAAGCTACATGTAGTGACCGCTGGCTTGATTGCCATTGTCAAACTATTTAAAATTTCAAACATTGCAATTTTTTAAAGAGATGCAGAGTTTGAGAGTGGGTGGTTGGCTGGTGCTCTCATGTGCTTTGTTCGTTCTTTCGTATCAAATAGCTATCAACCTTATCTCTCCTCCTTTTTTAACATTTTGCTCTCTTTTAACGCTTCTAATCCTCAGCTTTCATATGACCTAATTGTGTTGCAAGTGCTGTAAAACTCTTACTAAAAAGCTAAAGTGGGTGATTGGCGGGTGCTCTGGTGTGGTTTGCTTCTTCTCTCCTATCAAACATTTATTGTCCTTATCTCTCCTCCTTTTTTTGTGTTTGTTACTCTCTTGTAACACCTCTAATCTTCGGCACTTATATGGCCTTTTATACGATGAAGTAGATTGGCCACTTAAAGAAAAAAACTAGAGTTTGAGAAATACTTTTAAAAATGTAGAAACCTTCTTGTTGTCCAGTTTAATCCAGATGTTGAGTATGCAAGAGTTTTTTCAATGGCTTTTGCATAATTATAATCTGGAACACTATATTTGACACTCGTTCATTCCATACTTTCCACTTTGTTAATGAATGAAGAGTGGAAATAAAATGAGAGAGTGCCACATTGCCTTTGTTTCATCAGAGTTGTGCCATCCCAGTGAAAAGGTTCTTTGGACTTACATTTGTTCCATTCACTACTTAAAGTCTTATACTTTAAGATTTATAAACTAACACTTAGATAACGCTTTGGTTCTGGATTTATAAAGAGAATAAATATGTATTAGTTGATTCTTAAAGCTGTTTTTTAAAGTTTGTAGTTTGTAGTCTAGGTTTAGCATCACTGCCTTTTTCATTGTCATAAAATGTATCTTTCAAAAGAACAGCACAAGGCTTTGTTCCTGTCACCACTTTGTCACTGCAGCGCATTGTGTTTGGAAATAAATGTTTGGTGAAGAAATCGGACGACTAGCTTCTTAATCCAGTGGGAAGTAGATTTATGAGCCATCAGTAGCCATATATGAAGCTAGGGCGCCAACTATACTATACAATGAAGTAGACTGGCCTACTCGACTCGAGGGAAGGTTGGTCTTTATAAAATAAGTATAATGTCAGTTTTCTTTTTCTATATTTGATTTCTTTTTGATAGACACATGTGCATTTGTTGGAAGGAATGATAAATCCTTTTTGGGAATTTCCCATTCAGTAAAGGGAAACTTTAAAAAGAGTATAGAAATGTATAGAGACCTGAGAATAGAATGAGGATGCATTTGTGTGCCTATAGAAGACTTCTCTTTTTGTATACGATTTACGTAAGGCAAGTGAATAGTGGTAACTGTATACTTTAATATTATGCTAGTCCTAAATTGAATTACAAAATAGTCGCTGTGAATTCCAGATGTTGAGTATGCATGAGCTTGTTTTAGTGGCTGTTGCATAATTATAATCTGGAACATTAAACTTAACTCTTATTTTCCTTCATTTTTCTATTCATTGTCTCCAGAATGAGTGGAAACCTATATGAGCCACATGTAAAAAAAATTTGTAAAAAAATTTTTGGTTTTTTTTTTTTTGGGGGGGGGGGGGGGGGGGGGAGCTTTTGCAGGGCAGTTGGAACATGTGTCCTTTTTGTTTTGGTTTTCATGTGACAGAAACAAGCTTTGTTTTTATCAGCCAAATAAAAGCTTTTTTATTTGAAGCATCAACTATAATGTGCTTCTTGATTCTGAAATCTATTGGGATGTCTTACAAGCACATATGCACCCGCATTTTTTGTTCCTATATTGTAATTATCACTAGGGATACAATAATAGTTTGAAGAGCGTTGTAGTTTTTTAGTTGGAGCCCATCCCTTTAGTTGGAGCCCATCCCTTTAGTTGGAGCCCATCCCGTCTGGGTTTTTTTTGGGGGGGGCACTATTATCACAAAAAAGGAAAGCTAATAACCTGGCTCTAATTCATCTGTACAGAGTCGAAGCCACACGCTCTGCGTAGATTCGTATTCAGGAAGACAAGACGGGCATTTCTTTACTGCTAGACTTGCAAGCAATTGATAAACATAGTTCTAGGCTTGCGGGCGGTCTCTTGCTCTTGTAAAACGTAAACATCAAAATGACTTTAAAAAGGCAAATAAATTCACTTTTTGACTTCCATTTGCAGGTTATTTGAAATTATGAGTAAGGCAGTAAGGTGGGAGGAAATTGTGTGTGAGAAAAGGGACACAACCAAAGACCCGGTGTCCGAAATATGTCACGAGTGCACTAGATCTAGGCCGCGTGTCCATTAACACTTACAGTACGTGGCTGGTTGGCAGGTGCTCTGGTGTGGTTTGCTCCTTCTTTCCTATCAAACATCTATCGTCCTTATCTCCCCCTTCTTCTTTTTTATGTTTGTTACTCTCTTGTGACACCTCTAATCTTCTGGCGCTCATATGACCTTATGCAGTTGCGAGCGCCGTAAAACCTCTACTAAAACAAAAATACTTACAGTACTGTCGACGACGCAAGACGCCAGGCCTTACTATGCCCTCACTACCGAGTCGCAGACGCAACCAGGCCCACTAAACATGATTAAACAATAAATGGACGCACTGCACTGAAGTAAATACCGAAGGAAGTCGCTTTATATGATAGCTGAATGGTTGATGAACCTCTCTGAAATTTTAAAGTGTGTTTTTTAGGGTGCCAAGGTTTTCCTAATTAAAAAAAATTCTACCGCGGCTTCAGCATTCAAAACTGGTGCGGTACCCAAAGGTTTTTCACTATATGAGCCTTCAGTACTGTAGATGTCAACACTGAGACATAAGGCTGCTGTCCTGGGTAACGAGCTGAGCTGAAAATCAATGCTAACAGTTGGAACATATACCCCCTGGCAACGAAAAGGTTAAACAGGCCTCCTCCTTTAAGTTTATTGTTCAATGTTTTCCCTAAACAGGCCTCCTCCTTTAACTTTATTGTTCAATGTTTTCCCAAATGAGGCGATCATGCATAATCTCGTTAAGTGCTATACTCTGGGCTGGTTTGTGCTTTGTGGTAATTCGGATGAGTCACACTCCAATATGAATCATGGGTATTTTTGGTGAGTACTTTTGCTAATATTGCTAGCTTCTCCTTTTTCTGTTTTTATTCGTTTCAGTTATCTTAATCTCCCTCTTGACATTGAAATGACCACAGGTAGTTAGTCTGCTTCCACTTATTGTTTGCTCCCTCTAACGTTCATATATCTGTTGCTTTGTCATTGCACTAAATACTAAATGAGCATTGTGTAGAGGTGCTTCTTGTCACTAAAGCTAACCAACCACCACCACCCCACCCCCCTCCCCACCCCCCCAGAAATGGCCTTCTTGAACTTCATGTCTCCAATTTTCCTTTTCTTCCTCTAGGAATGACCAACGCAGAAGTGCTGCACCAGGTTGAGCATGGCTACCGCATGCCGTGCCCCCAGGGATGCCCCAAGGCCCTGTATGACATCATGCTGGACTGTTGGCGCAAGGAAGAGATTGAGAGGCCCACCTTCGAGACACTGCAGTGGAAGCTAGAGGAGTTCTTCTCCATGGACCCCAAGGAGTACAGAGAGGCCTCTTTCATACGATAAAAGATTTCCCTTGTATGACAAATGACATCGTTCGTACGATGAAAGGCTTTTCTCGTTTTTTGAAAGGTCTTGTTCACACGTCATAACGGTTTTCCGTTTTTTTCGTATGAATGATATACCTAGGTTGTGGCTCTTTTGGGAATTTAAAACATGCTTACACACATTACACACCTGCCCTGATGTCATCAGTACAAGTGATATAGCTAGCTGTCAGAATTTTTGATGGGGATGTAGGAGGGGGGGGGGGTTCTGAATTTGCAGTGAGTTGTGAGAAGATAGTAAACACTGTATCCCTACCCTAGTAATAACTCTTCAGGTTGTGCACAATCATTCAAGGACTGTTTGCAATTTTTTTGAGTGAGAAGCTCATTTGCTAAAATTATACCACGAGATCCCCGGTTTCTTTTTTCTTAGGCCAGTTTTCTTTTTTTTTGTTGTTGAAAGATTCCATTCTATTGGGGTATGACAGGGTGAGGATGTAGAAGCGAGACCAATTGTACCCTTGCAGGTGCAGTCTTTTGTGTCCTGATAAGAGGGTCACGAAGACAGCACTGCCAGGGTGCTTCCTCTGCAACACTTTTCACCTGGGAGCACAGGACTGAGACTTAAAACATGCCAGCCACTGGACTTTTGTTCCATCATCTCTGTGTCATATTGGGGGTGCTCGTTTATCATGGACGTGTTTTGTGTCTTGGTTGAATTCGTTTCACCTAATTGTGTCCTCTGCCGTGTGCGATATATGTGGGGCACGCTAATTGACAAGTATTACATCTGTAGTCGTTGAAGTATTTACGATCAGATGATACTGCATTGTTGTAATTGTGTTGTTGAGAGGGAAGAAAATAAATAAATATCTTTGTAGGCAGTTGTTTTTTTTACGTAAATTGTTTTTCTTTTCTCATAACCTTTCCTTGCAAAACATGCTTACGACATTGCTAACAGAAGCTTAGGCTGCTACTTGTGCGCTTATGAATTGTTTTTTGTAAAATTTAGTTACTTGAAAAAGAAAAATGATTGCAGAAAAATGTCTTACACTCCCCATTTCTGTTTTATTTTCTTACTGTAAAATTTGTCCAACTCACAACTTTCAAGACTGAAAATTGTCCTGATGGAGCAGTGTACATGTAATATTATTTTTCCGGTGTCCTTCATTTTTATGTAGGGTTTGCTCAAACTGAAAACAATTATGAATGAACTGGTTTGTTCTTTTTAGACCAGGTTTCTTGTTTTTTTAAGTAAGTGACGAGTATGGTTTTGATTTTATGTAATATGCGTTCATTGAAAGCTACTACAGTAAAGCTATTGCTAACCCTGCATTCAGCAAATGTTAAAGATTGTGCTGCCATACCATTTTTTGATGTTGACTTTTTTTAGGGGTGTCGGTTTGTTTGTTTGTTTGTTGTTTTTTTTGTTGTTTTTTTGTTGTTGCTTGCATTGCAAGTTGCTTGGTTATGTTGGAATAATTACAAGTCCTGGCTGCATGTTGATTGCTGAATGTGATATCTTTTGTGTGAGTCGTAAACTTCATTTTAGCAGAAAATACTTACCAGTGAGTTTGCCATCGTATTCAGTGAGATTGGTTTTTGGTCTGTGCGCTTGTGGAATGATGAGTCGACATGTTTGCTCCTTTGCACTCAAGTATTGTGGATGTGGGAAAGCACAAAGCATGTTTCTATGTTTGTGTCAGCTAGTTTTCATTTACTCTGACACTGATGGTTCTAAATTGAGTGTTGGGAATTGCTCAAATTGTGAAAGTAGTGCTTCGGCACTTTTGAGGCCAGTGTTATGTCAATTAATAAATAAAGTGTTAGTGGTAAAAATTTATACGTACAAGAGCTGAACTGGAGGATGTTGGTCCCTGTTTTTGTGTGGTTGGTAGCTGGTTTATAAAAGTTGATATAAAAAGACTCTACTGTGTCATTACAGTTCTATTCTTTTTTACATTACAGTTTGAAAGATCGTCAAGTCTTTTTATAGCATATTGCGGTATAATCCTGGTTGCTTGAGTGTTGCATATGCTCTATTATTGCATGTTATCTCCTGGACGCAGCTATGTGACCTAGTCCTGTCTCGCCTCTTTAGTTGCTGTGTATTGGTAGCAGTATTTATTTGGTTTTCCTCCTTGCATTTTATTCACCATGGAGAACGACATAAGACTGACATTGTTGTGGGCTAGTCCTGCTCTGAGAATGACTAAGAGGGTTTTGCTTTCACATTGTTGAAGAACAACCGAGGTACTCATTGCCTGAGCTTTTTTTTTCATTTCTTGTCACATGTTCCATATGCATTGTTTTGTTTTGTCAAACAAAAAGAATTTTTCAAAGCATAACATGGTTAATCAATGCTTTTTTAAAAAGTTAACTCTGCGTGAAGGTAAAAACCTCTTCAGTCTCAGGACATGGATTGGCAAAAGTGGAATCATGACTTCTCTCTGCTTACAAGCTGCAAGTGAATGTGCCCTGGTTCTTTTGTCCACTTCTGTCAAAAGCTGTAAATATTTATATATAGATGGATATGTTTATTTTATGCGTTTGTACTTTGAGTATGTTAAGTTGTAGATTCTATTGTTGTTACAAGGCTTTTTCTTTGGATCGATAACTACATTACAAGGCTTTTTCTTTGGATCGACAACTACATTACAAGGCTTTTTCTAAGTGGCATGCTTTGAAAGAACAGAGCTGCACTCAAAAGCTAGTCCTAGCCCCCTCCTACTCTTTACATGACCCTGCATTTCCTCGGGGGGCCTTGTGGCTTCTCGCATACATTAGTGCCCTTTTTAGTTTGTAGATTCTGTATTGTTGTGCACTTAAGTCCAACAGTTCTGTATGTTTCGCTACATAAAACATGCGTACAAAAACAATTTCGTTGTGTTCTATGTAAACAGATCGTATATGATTGTGCCAAACACAAATAGGAATTGCTTTTTGTCTTCAAAGCTGGTTAGTCCACTTAATTCTTTGGAAGGGAAATCTATGGAAAATTAGGAACTGACATGCTGTATTGAGCGGTTTCGTTTGCCTTCCATCTTTTCTATATTCGTTGGTATTTTTGTCATGTCCTGAAAACCAAGCTCTGGCTGCAAAAGAAAAGGTTGAACTTTTGATCATGGCCATAGGACATGAAGAATTAGTTGGATTCAGTTGCTATGTCAGTCAAGGGTGGCTTCTCCGCTGAGATCCATCTTAATTGCATTTTACTCCTCAACTTATTCCATTATCATTTTTGTTTTCTCATGTTTTCTCATACGCCATTGTACATCCAGAGAACTGAATAGGTCATTTATCAGAGATCCATGTTTAGATAACGAGCAGATTATAAAGTGGTAGTCGAGAGTTTCTCTTGGTGTCAGACCTGTGTTGGTGAATCAATATTATGAAAATTTGGTGGACTTTTCGGTCAACTCTTTCAATATTTGTGTTGCCTACAACACCCTGAAAGACCTTGTTACCCTGCCTTGTGGTTCTTCTTCACCAGTGGTTCATTTGTCTGAACTCGGCCTATAACAGCTTCCCTTTCTACCAGTGTTTGTGAGCAAACAGATGTGTGTAGGTGCACATTAACAAGCTTGAAAAAATTCAGAAGGGGTCAAGTGTCTAAAAGTGACCTTGCAGGCAGTTTGAAGGGTACCACTGGTAGGCTCTACTTCTTTACTTTCCCTCTGTTGTTTCTGTCCGTCTGTCTTCCTTTTTCCCTGCTCTAAATGACTTTTATTGCATTAATGTGCATCTCTATCTACTCAAACTCGAAAAGTGATCTCTCTCAACACTTTCTTTTCCTGACCTATTCCTAGGGTTATAGTGTGTGATTTTAAAATATTTTTCTCAGTGCCCAGTCATCATGTGAACATTTGGTCCTACCACATCACAGCTTTGATTTTAGTGCCGTGTCATGTGTATTGTACTTATAGATCAGCAAGTAATTGTTAATGCTTTGATAGTTTTTAAGAAATAGGTATTTGTTATGATTAGTGTGCTTTGCTTGTTGGGGATGTTCCAAAAAAATGTTTTTTTGGTTTTTTTTTCTCCACGTCGGGGGAGGGCTGAGTCTGTTGCTGCTGTGATGTGGGGCGGTCCGCTATGTCTGTCCACACATCAATGGGATCAAAAAAACGTGTACATAAAATTTGCATGTGTAGAACATTGCCTTTATTTTCATACAGACTTACTGTTGCGAGTCCATTGGTGGTGTTGTTTTGTTGGACGTTCCTCTTACTCTTTGTTGCTCTCTCTAATGAGTTCACCAGGTTGGTCAGTGCATTTTCTACTAACCTTAGTTGACTGACAAGTGTGATGGGTGGGCCTCTGAGCCAAGTGCTTTATTGGAATGTGATTAGCGTGACCCCTGTGTACTAATTCTTGTTTTCTCCCCCTGAGAGAGCGAGCTTTGTCCCTGTAAGACGGCTTCACCTATATATGGAAGCCGAGAACATAATGCTTGAAACTGCCACTGTTTTATAAAGACTTATTCTGTTTTAACTCACGACTATGAGTGTCTGATTTGGATGTTGTGAACTCCATTTTTGCTAATTTCCACTTTGTTCATTTCCATGCATGTGTTTCTTTTTATGGTAGTGTTTGCATGTACAGCACGTTCAGAGAAATGTACAGTTACTTGAAGATATGATTTATATTTGCACTACTTTTGTATGTTCTGTAAGATCTAGAATCTAGATGTCCTTGCCAATGTCTTGTTTCCGTCATGGTTTCTTTGTTTCAGTAAAGAGACTCACTATAAAGTATAAAGAAATCAAGTCAGCGTGGAATTAATGTCATGTCATCGGAAAGCCAGAGTCGAGCGAGCTACACGTACTTGGAATTGTTTGAATTCTTCGTCTGATCAGTCAAATGGATCTCTGCTGTTAGGATAGAAAGAAATCCATGCTCTCCTACCTTGAGAAATTTTGGAGAGTGACTACTTCTTGATGTAGTGGATTATTAAGTTTGAATGGCGGGGGGCTACTGAATAGGAGAATGAGTGTTCACTTGTATTACCCAAAATGT